TAAAGAAAAAGAAAGAAAAAAGAAACATAATTTACAGGTGCAACAGAACATTATCCCGTGTTTTTTAAAACAGAGACTGACAAAGCAAGAGGGCATCAGAAAACACACTCATCCTCCAGGAAGCCTAACACTTAAGTGCTATTTCTTGGAATGTAAGAAAAAAATCAAAGTCTGGTGTTACTAAGATTCAAATTTATTCACTACATAAAGGCATCCACCTTAGTGGGGACATTTTAAAGAGTCTTTAAATTTTAAAGAGGAAAAAAAAAAAAAAAAACTCTTCCCAAAAAAGTGGGAATATCCAGAAATGCCACTACCCTATCCTACAACACCATCAGCATGCAAAGCAGGAAAAAAACATTTACTGGCCTGGCAGCCTTTGGTGCAATGGGTGATACGATGTCTATTAACATTGGTGGTTGTAGAATCAGCCCCAGAAGAGAGAGAGAGAGAGATCTTGGTGCTCTCAGTGAGACTCCTCAAACGTCCAGCTACTCAACCCATTAAATACAGAAAATATTCTTCATTGTCCTGAAGTCTACAAGGCAATGGGAAAGAACTTAAGACTCATGTTTTGGGTTTTTTTTGCATATTTTATAAGGAAAAGAAGACTAAAAAGCCACTCAAAGGAATGATCCACATTAACAAGATCAAGAGAACCTTAACATTATCAAGAGAACTCCAAGAAACCGAGCACCATTAAACCACCCCAAAGCTATTCTAATTAAGTATGCCTTATCCCAATAAAGCAGTGGCCTTTGTCCTTTAAGCATTAAGAGCGTTCAAACAGGTTCCCTCCAAGGACTTGTCTGCAAAACCTAATGAAGTACACTATGTACATTTGTAAAAACACACAGACTTTTACTAATACCCTTAAACATTAAGTCAGAAAGGACAAGTCTTTCTTAATAAGCTTTATAAGAAATCACYAATTGGGCTTGCTGATGATTATCATAAAGTCTGAATCCAGCCTAGTACTGTCAAAGAGCACTGTGATTTCACAAATAATCCAAGCAATCTTAAATTGAGGATTCAGATATGCGCTGCCATGAGGTCTGGGCAGCCATGCAGTTCTTGCATGGAAACACCATCCATGCAGGCATGGATCATCAGGTAAGACTGCTTCTCTGTGGTTCGCAAGTCGCATCRGGGCTGAGAGCTTGAATGCGGCTTTCAAATCACGCCTGGCTATTTGACACGTTCAATCACACAGCTACAGGGAGTCGGAGGATGTAGAGTAATCCAAGACYGACACTAACAGGCCACAAACCCATCTCCTCTCCCTGGAGAGCCTTCCCCATCCTTTCCATTCCCAAGGAATTGCCTGTTGTGTAGCTTTGTGCCATGCTAAGGTTTCAATAAATGGCTTCTGAATCGGGAAAACTGGCTATCTCTGCTTTTAAGTGAGAGCAAAACACAACACTGCTCAGAAGAATGACTCTAAGTTCCCAACCTGCACTGGGCAATGCCCTAAAAATGCCATGCTTAAGAAGAGGTGAGTTTATAACTATAGTCTCCTATAATGCTAGGGAAAACATATAAAGAACATTTGCTTTGAAATATTATTACTCTCCCCAATAAACACCTTAAAAAAAAAAAACACTTTATTTCATTTTTTTCATTAACTGGGGAATATGCTTTTTTTTCTCCTGAATTTATAGCCATCTATTCATTCTTCTGAACCCTCAACATTTTTAAAAGCACTCCAAGATAACATGTGTAGGTTCTTCTTAAAACTAAGGACCACAACAAAAGGAAAAGGGCTGCRGAGTATATACTTATTTAACTGAAAGATTCAATCATGTTTAAAAAAAGATATATTTTAAGTCATACTTATGCTTCTTATTTACCTACCATTTTTACTAATTGATGAATTATTATCTTCAGCTTTCTCAAACACGATATAGAAGAGATTCAAGTCCGCAATATTTTTCAAGCAAAGAAATCCAAGAAAGGAAAAGTCTATTTCAGTTAAATGATCACARCTCACCTGGAGAACTGCAGCATTTACTGCACCTGGTTATACAAAGGCAAATTRGCAGGACAAGATCTTGATTGTTTTTCTCCTGTTCCCATACATTATTGTTTCCTGTGTTCTATCTTATGCATACAAACACCCACTTGTATATGCAGTGCTTTGCCCCAATTGTCTCACATTTCAGACAGTAACTTGAATTTTAGATGGCAATTGTGGCAGCTTATGAAATCAAATGGAGGAATTAATAATGCATTGCTTTCCATGACAACAGCAGACCCCTTTACAGTTTTAGCTGTCATTGCGTGAGTCACACAGTTCTCACCATTCCACATAGCAGCAGATGGGAAGAAAAAAAAATGGAATGTAGTGAGGGCTCCCGAAATCTGTCTTCATTTTTTAGATTTAAGTTACTGTATAGAGTACTTAACAGAACCAACAGACTCCCAAACCTGTGTAATGTCCTTTTATCTTCAGTAGGGTTTCAGCCAGGCAAGAATTTGTTTGATAGAACAGGAGCCTCTCAAGTGCAAAAATGAAAGAAATGAGGGTAATATTAGGCCTGACAACATGTACATGATGCCAGCAACACAAATATGCACAGATATACTTCTCTTCACATTCTAGCCCAGAACTATGTAGGATAATAGTTGAGTTTCCACCGATGGAGACACAAAAGAAAACCTAAGTTCAGATCTTTCTTCAATGACATGCAGAGTTGGAAAAATTCAGAGAAAGCCTATTGAAAGTTGCTGTGGTTATACTGCTTTTACTGAGTACACAATAAGGCTTGTTTTTCGAGAAGAGCTTCACTTCATATTTTGGAATTCAACAAAGCCCAGAAACCACCTCTTATCAAATACACAGATAAAGAGGTGCGCAGATATGTATTTTTTTTTAATATAAAGCTGCTCATCTAGTTGCCAACGGCCACATAATAGTAAGAAATGACAGACACTGATGATTCAGAAAAAAATAGCATACACTATAAAATAGCATACACCTCTAACATCAGAGGAGAACACACCTTTCTAACACAAATCTAGGCCTAGAAATTAATTGATCTAAGCTCTAGCACTCATTTCAGTTCTATGACTGGCAAATGTCATTTAGTTCTGAATTTGGATTCCTTTAAGAACTAGATCTGACATGTCAGACAAACTATGCTGCAGTACAGTGGGTAGTCTCCAAAATTTTTTGTACAAAGAGGTTCAGCTTTTCCTGAGACTTGCTCTCACTCTTCTCAAAGGCCTATAGATCTTGTCAAGCTAAATCAGCAATAAGTGAAGGCATATTTAAAAAACAAAGTACGTAAGCTATGGTTATAAAAACTATGTATTCCAGGTATATGGTAAGACACATTTGCCTACATAAAGCTTTAGAAGGCGGCATCTTGGTTATGTTTATCCTAATTTAACAACATATAGCTGAAGCTAGTCTGTCATGTCCCCTCTGCCTCATCATACTCACTATCCTTCTATATACTACACCAGATAAAAATGAAAAAAAGAAACTACAATTCCCTTTCACAACAATTTATATTTATGAAGACAGACTAAACTACTAAGGATATTCATAAAAAAAAAAAAAGTCAGATTTTACTTCCAAATCTGCCCTATTTTTTCACCCTTTTCAAGTGTCAGATTCATCTTTTCACAGCATCAATTTGCCATAATAGTAAAATATCCATCCCACAAAKATTTTTTTTCAGATTCTGCCTAGCACCCAGCTTTATAAACTTCAGTCTCAACTGAAGTTTATACTCTCATCTGCCTCACCGTAAATGTCAATTAATATTGTTTTACATATTTCAGGATGAAGAATTTATGCTGTTAGATGAATGTTGCTCTTGCAGTTGGGCACTTCTATCACTGTTCCACGTTTTAAGAAAGATAATAACTTATAATAACAGGCAGGAAAACACAGAGTTGAAATTACAGCTTTCCTTTATTCACCTAACGACACAAGCAAGTTGGAAAAGTTTGTTCTGCATCTAGTGCATTTGTGCTTCTTGCAATGTCACCATGCAGTATTTTTCATCTAAAAGACAGTGATGCAGCACAGAGCAGTCCACCAGTACTGAAAGACCATCCAAGGGCTGAAAGCAGGACTGAAAACACAAAAGATCCACAATTAAAATCAACCTGTGTGATAACAGAACACAACAGGTTCTGCGTTTAAACTGTAAGACACATTTTGAGGAGCATAACAGCTCTCCAAAACTACGAGGTGACAAAAGCATAAGGAGAACAGGCAATCGCGAGCAGTCACTTCTTGTGATTAGAGCCACTGGACAGATCTGCTAGTCCAAACCTTCTGCTAAGTATGCCCCTCAACTCAAATAACACACATGGACTCTACAAAGCTTTCCAAAAGCAATTCTTGTATTTGGTATGACACCCTAATGTCACTACTGAACAAGACGGTCTAGCATCACATAAAGCGTGGCTGCTGCTGCCACCCTTTCAAGGTGGCATCTTCTCTAAAAACACCATCTTYTCTAATAGCAGCACTAGCTGAAGCACTGCAGGGAAGGTGGCTGGGAGGGAATGAGGAGTGCATCTCTGCACGCTTTCACTGGTAAGACTCAGACAAGTTGCAAGTGGTGCTACAGAAACACGGCAATAATTTCCAAGGCAGCTGTGCTACCTTTCTGGCCTTGCATCCACTTACACTCCTTAAAGAAAAAAAAAACACTAATRCAGTTTTTCATCAGATTCAAAGTCGTAGTTTTTCAAACACAAGCTCCTCCCTGCACATACCCTCACCCAGCCTTTCCCCTGGGGAGCACTCAAGTGCCCTCTCCCTGTCTTACCGTGACCATTTCGGCCGCGAGGCCACCGCCGGGACAGTGGACACGGCTCCCGGGGGCAGCCCAGACGGAGCGAGCACCACCGAGCGAGGCCGAGGGGCAACCTGCGGCTGCCGGGCCCGGGGCGGGAGCCCGAGGCAGCGCCCCGGCCTGCGGCCTTCCCGCCTCCCGGCCGAGCCCGCGCGGGCCCAGCCGCGGCCGCCCGGCACTCACCTTCCCGTCGGCGCCGAAAGGGAAGGGCTCCTCCTGCGGGGCGAGGGACGCCCTGTCCCGCGGCGCCTCCGCGCCGCTGGCGGCGCCGGCGCCGTGCGCCGGGTAGTCCGGGAAGGGGTTGGCGAAGGCACGCTCCTCCATCTCCGCCTCAGCGCCCAGCTGCAGCCTCAGCCTCTTGGACATGCTCTCTCCCATGGCAGCCGCCCCCCGGCCCGCCTCCGCGCACGGCGAGCCGCTGGGGACACACTCCACCCCGCGGCGCCGCCAATTACGGCAACGCGAGCGCCGCCGCCGCCAGCTGCCCGCTGGCCAGGGCCGCCGAGCGGCACATGGGGGCGGCCGGCGCCCTGCTTGCGGAGGCCCGGCTGGCTGGCACCGTGCGAGCCGCCGGCCTCCTCCTC